ACCAGCTTGTTAAGGAGTTAATTGCCTACATAATTGGAAAATTACCATCCAGAAATTGGTAGCAACAATGGAGCGCTCACACGCAAGGCCCTTGGAACAGGCTTTCCGGAGCCTGAATCTTTTTAAAGCTTTCTCCTGCCTCCTCCCAAGCCTTGCACTGACGCTCCTGGCACAGCGCCCTGTGTTGGAATTCCCGCTTCTGTGTCAGGTAGATTGGGATCTACTGGGAGAGTTCTGGGTGGTTTGCAGCAGATCAGCAAGAAAGGATTTTAACTCCTGGTTACCTCACAAAAACAACACCTCAAAAGCTTTCTCTCCCTTCCATAAAAAACAATACTTGCAGAAGGTGGGGAACCGGAGTGGATTTTTGTGGGAAAGGCGTTGTGAGCTTGCTGCTGGTACTGATCACAAATTCCTGGGCTGAGCATGTTCTCAGACACATTCTGAGTTGTATCCAATCAAGTTCTGCTCAGAGTAGACCTACTGAAATTAATGGGCCTAAAGTTAGCCATAAAAACCACTCTTGCTCAATTCTTCATGTGTGGCCGCCTGCCTGACCCACTCTTTTGCACCTGGCTCCAGTTGGTGGATCTTAGGGCTCTAGGATGAGCCTACCCTAAAGTAGATCCTGCAAGTGTGAGACCTGGCTGCCTCTCATGAACTCTGATAGCAGGCTCAACAATTAGGGCTGCCACTTTAATTTCCCATAATATCTTTGGAGCAACCAGTGCCAGATTTATGGTGGTATGGGTGGTTCCCCTGTAAAAGGGCGTGTAAATTGAGAAGATCCATTTGGGGGTGCAAAACTCAGGGCGCCATATTATGAAAGATTACCTTACCAAAGTCTGCCTCTGGAGCAAGGCATCAGCTGGGACTTTGTAAGAAACTTAAACGGTTCTTTGAGGAACAAAGGCACCCAGAAGAGCCTTTCTTTGGCCCCTGGTCAGAAGGCAGCCTGGGAAACATTTCTCCCCGCAGTCTTGGATACAGCACATAGTTGTGGGGGGTTGTATGTTGCAGCGCCAACGATCTCTTCTGTTCCGGCCTTAATTTCTAGGCATGTTGGGTGTGAGTACAGCTTCTTTTCGGGAGGAAGCGAAGGGAGCCATCACAGCTGGCTCAGTGGTGCTGCGGCTGCAGCTGCTAAGAGCTAGCAAATGCCCTGCCGCCGATTTCATTTTATTGATCTGTTCCCAGACACGGACCTCGGCTTCCTGTTGCCTTAGGCGCTCTTCCAGAATGTTTCGCTTATTCCCTGACCTGAAAGGACTGCAACTGCTCTGGCTAATAGAGCCAGGCCTTGGTGTCAGTGTGGCTCCCATGTTGAGGGCCTGTTTGTCTAAGCCATAGAGGAAGCTTTTCCTGCCCTTGAGTGCCCCTTCCAGGCCACAGGCGAGGCCTTCTGCCTTGAGGTGCTCCCACATCGCAGGGTGACTTGTGTGTCAGACTGAGCCTCCCTCCCTGTTCAGGAAATTTCATTCATGAGGTGGAGTGGTAGAAATTTGGGGCAAGGAGGGGTTGCTACCAGATGCTAGAAGTTTGTCTTCAGTGAGAGATAGGCAGTGGCATTAACAGTTTATACGTGTAGATTGTCTGGGAAATCAAAATTCAGCACCAAGACCCCACATCCTCTCCAGGAAAAGCTGTGATCTGAAACCTTAAACGATGCAACTGTGCTAGTTTTTCATTTCCTTATGCTTTCTTCCCAATGACTTATTCAGCAATCTTCCTCTTCTACATAATTTACTCTGGATTGCTACACAAAAAAGGGTGGTGTCAGAGGGGAGACTTCACCCCCAAGCCAGCTTTTTCTCTCTCCCCACGTTACTCCCCCCCGCCCCCGCTGTCTGCTTTGCTTCACTTCCTGTCTGATTAAGATAAGGTTACCAGATTTTTTTCAAAGAATCCGGGGACACTTTTCTTTTTAAGAGAAAAAGAAGTTATTGAAAAAAGTTTTATTTTTTAAAAAGTAATATCTTCTCTTCTGTAGTCTCCTCTGTCACGCAGCCTTCCTCTGGGCCCCGGCCTGCTCTCTTGGAGCGCTAGCCGCTGTGGAGTAGGCTCGGTGAGGGCCTGGGCTTGGCTACGTGTCCTTGCCCTCCCGGTGCTCTCCTACTTCTGCTCCTCTGCGGCGGTGGCTCCCCTCTTTTTTCTCCTTCCTCTTTCTCTCTCTTCCTGCTCCTCTCCTCCTTCTCCCTGCGTCAGCTCCGGGGTTTTCCTGGGCAGCTGGGTGGCTGGGCACTCTCACTCCCGGCTCGATTTGGGTTATGGGGGTGGTGGTCAGCAGTTCCACCAGTTGATGCGCTGGGTGTCCCCGGTTTCCCCTTGGCAGCGGCAGCGGCAGCCTCAGCAGCCTGGAGCCAGCATGGTAGCGCAGTTGGCTCTGGCTGGCTTCAGGAGCTGCTCGCTGCCGTGATGCCCACCATTTTGCCTCGCCGGAAGTCCCCATATGATGTGTCTTGTGCCATTGAACCAATCACGCAACATTCATTCCATACTAATAAATCTACAGCACTTAAAATATAAATCCGGGGTCATTCCGGGGGCGGATTTTGTCCGGGAACAGATTTGTAAATCTGGGGACTGTCTTTGGGAAACGGGGACATCTGGTAACCATAGATTAAGTGTCCTGGAGAACCTAAAAGCTGGCTTGCTATTTTGTGCCATTTTGGTTGGTCCTAATAAAGGCATCTCCACCTCTGCTGTGGATTTTGAAGTATTTCTGCACTGCTAGCTGCGACGGAAAAGTTTGTTTTTGCTGGGGCAGGTTGGGTTCCCCAAGTATTTTCTTTTTCTTTTCCCCATGTCAGAAAAGGGTTAATGTATGGCAGCCTCTGATTGGCCGAGGTTCCAGGAGGGGAGTTGAAAAGGAGAGGCTTTGGAGAGACAGGGAGTGAGTTTTGGAGGGAGGAGGCTTTGGTTGGGAGGATAGGCAGAGAGAGAGGAGGGAGAGGAGAGGGAGTTGGTTCTGGGTAGAAACATCCACTCTGAGGAAGATATCAGAAGCTAGAGAAAGGAGTCTCTGAGCTTAGGGTGAAGGACAGTGTGTGGTGTCTTGTGAGAGTAAAGCCAGGCTGAGCCAGGAGAAGTAGAAGCTGGAAAGAGACCATCTACTTAGGTCTCATTCCAGTCAGGAGGGGAGAGATACTTCTAGTAAGAGAAGAGTCCCAAACCAGTGGAACCTCGGGTCTCTTACTTGGAGTACTGCAGGAGTAGGGTTGTCTAAGGGGTGTCTAACTGACAGAAAGTACCACCTTGTTAAGAACCAAAGTATTAAGTTAAGAACCAAAGTATTAAGTGTGAAACAACTGAGAAAACCTTGAAGTGAAATAACATTGTAAACTGAAGTATCCTAAATTTTATTCACTTGTGTCATAAACTTTCTTGTTAAATAAAATCATTATTGTTTATTTGTACAAATCCTGTCTGAGACTCCTAATTATTAAGTTTACCTCACGCAAGTCCCCTACAAGATAATCTGAGGTAGTCTGTGGGGATTTGTGGGATTGGTGTTCTGTGAGTTGGGTGCGCACTCTACTTTTTAAGTGAGAGGACGGGCCCAACGGCGCCAGGGGAAAAAGAGGCATTGCACTAGCCACACAAGGCAACTGTGCCTGAGCCACTAAACCTGGATCCTTTGCCTGTCAGCTCCTCTCCTATTTCATCCACCCTTCCCTTTTACAACGACTGGAATCTTGGCATTTAATAAATAATAATGTAGACATCCAATGAAGCTGAATGTTGGGAGATTCAGGACAGATAAAGTAAAGTACGTCACATGGCACATAGTTAAGGTAAGGGCAGGGATGGCCACCAACAGTGGCTTTGAAAGAGGACTGGACAGATTGTGGAGGAGAAGTCTATCAGGGGCCCCAGTTGGAGGCCGAGATGCTTCTGAATGCCAGTTGCTGGAGCCCCAGGAGAGGAGAGGCCTCTTGGGCTCAGTCCTGCTAGTGGGCTTCCCACGGAGGCATCTGCTTGGCCACTGTGAGGCTAGTGGACGAGAGGGACTCCTGGCCTGACCCTGCAGGCTCTTGCTATGCTCTTACACTAGTAATAATATTCTGTGTCCAGAACCGCATTGCATCTGAGTCCTGAAACTAAACATCTAAGTTCTGCACTGGCTGCCTGTATCTTACTGAACCAAGTTCAATGTGTAGCTGCCAGTGGACAAAGCCCCAAACTGCTCACCTGAAGGGTTGTCTCATTCCTTAAACCCAGATCAGCTGCAATAATCTGGAGGAGCCCTCCTAACTTCCCCATGGTCCTATTCATTTAGGGCTGATCTACACTCCCTCTGGTCTCACTGCTTTCTCTAGAGGGAAACTGCTCTTCGACGCCCTATTGGAGCAAATGGCAATTCCGGTTTTCTCCAGATTGACGTTTGCTCTGATTTAGCACTGAGGAGCGGGTTTTCCCTACAAAAGGAGTGGGGCAAGGGGGAAACCGCTCAGACTTGTGCTTTTTCTAGGAATGGGGAAAGCAGAAGCCCTTGGTGTCTACACAAACTAAGATTTTTAGCATAGTACTGGCACCAGTATTTTGAAATGCTGCTCCAGCTGAATTCAAACAATTCTGATATTTCATTACCTGTTCAGAATGATTTTGTTTTGCCAATAATTGTTAGATAAATAAAATTCAGTGCTGGTCTTTTGCTCTGTCATTTGTAATATTGTAATTTTATGATGTTTTAATTATTCTATTGGGTTTTATATAAGTTGGCCATCTATAGTCTTATTAAGGAATTGAATAAATGGAAATGTGGCTTTCTGGGATGAACCACCAGTGAAAATTGGTGAGCAAGCCCCCTGAGTCGAATGGGCATGGGGGGGGGGGTGCACTACCTTATTCTCGGTCAAATGGGGCATCTGCTCTGGGACTGATCATCTGCCAGTCATGACAAATTCTGGAGCTTGTTAAGTGAAGACCCAGGTGCCCGTCCACTGCTGGCCTCTCATGGTCTGATAGCGCACCTGCCTTTCCACCCTGGGGAATATCACACTTGTGGTCAAGGTCCAACCTCACATGTCCTGTATGAGATAAAAGAGGGATGCGTGTGGTCAGACCTAGCCCACAAGCCTTGTATTCTCACACAAAACTGAGCACGGCCTCTTAACCTACCATCTGATCACCATCACCATCTGCACCAACCTCGATTCCATCACCACCATTCTCAGAGGACCTGCATCTGCATCTTTCATCTGTCATGTGCCACTTTAGATGCCCAGCAGCAAAGAGAAAGAGACCTCGGATTACCCTGGGATGCCAATGTGGTGCCTAGCTGAAAAGGAAGGAAGAATCCACATGGTTTGGGGTGGGTGGGGGGAGCCTGTGTCTGCTTGCAGGGTGTTTGGGGCTTCAAGGCAAAGATGTTATTTACCTGTGTGGGTTTAGGGACCAGTAGGATGGCCATCAGTCTTGGGCCACACATAGTCCATACATTTAAAGCACTATGATACCCATTTAAAAAGTCGTGGTCCCCCCCCTCCCCACCCAAATAATAATTCTGGGAACTCTGGTTTGTTAAAGGGTGCTGAGAATTGTTTGGAAACTCTAATTCCCCTTACAGAGCTACGATTCCCAAAGTTCCCTGGGAAAAGAGATTGATTGTTAAACCACTCTGAGAACTGTAGCCCTACCTGTAGGGGCATAAGGGCTTCCTATCAACTCTCCCTGTGGTCCCCAGGATTCGGGGGGGGGGGCACGGCTGCTTAAACCAGTACAATACTGCTTTACAATGTCTGGAGCGGATGTGGTGTTACTTTGGGTTTATCCTCCAGATGACCTATTGACGGAGCAGGTACACTGATACGCTTGCACAAAGCTTATGCAGAGCTTAGACTTTATTGAACATTCATTCTGATTTGCTTGCAGGGGGGTTATACAGCCATGAACTTTCCTCCCAGATTCATGCTGATTTGTTTCCGGGGTGTTTCCACATCATTCATTCATCCCACACTTTCCCTCTTAACCATTCATTCATCCCAACAGGTTGTTGCTGTTGCTGTTAAATGGTTTTGTTGTGCCAGCGTGACAGACTAGCTTTCATCCACTTCAGTTGCACAGACCTAAAGTACACCCTTGGATTCCTCCTGCGAAATACTGATGGTCTAGAGGTGATGCCCCCCCCAACCTGTGCATAGGAGTTTCAAATGTCTCCCCTTTCACCTGGCCGCTTTTCCAGGGTCTCTCTGTTGTGCTTGGAAAGGTGGTGAGGGGACTCTGCTCACTTGCTCTGGTGGCCTCTTGCTCAGGGGGGCAGCAGGGGGGGCTGGCAAGGTGGAGCCATGCTGGCTGGTTCTGCGCATAGACTCAGACTGATTCAGCCTTTGCCCAGCTCTGGTTGCCTCACCTCAGAAAGGATATTGTAGAGTGGGAAAAGGTTCTGGCAGGGTCAGGCCAATGGCCCATCTAAGCCAGCATCCTGCAGGAAGCCCACAGGCAGGATTCGAGCACAAGAGCCCTCTCCCCTCCTGTCAACTGGGATTCAGAAGCACGGCTGCCTCCAGGTGTGGAAGCAGAGCACAGCCATCCTGGCTAGGAGCCATTGAGAGCCTTGTCCTCCATGAAGTTGTCCTAGTTGGTGCCATTGCTTCCTCCTGTGGCAGTTTAACTATGCACTGTTATTCTCAGTGCCAGGATATCCTTAGAAACTCTACCTTCACAATTGGTAGAGTTAAACAAATAAATTGAGTGTGTGCGTGCATATGCAAAACATGGCCAGAAGAAACTTGGAGACTTTATTGGCGCCACTGTTGGGACCCAGTTGGAAGACGAATCAATGACCTGTCCTGCTAAAAGCTTAGTCCAGAACCATTACCGTGGAATTTCTTCTACCTGTAGTTAGTAGGATTAACAGCTGTGACTAGTAGCAAACTTGAATTGACAAGATTAAATGATATAATGACAGCAGCAGCAACAACAACAATGTGCCATTTGTCATGAACAAATAACAAACCAAAATTATTCTTTTAAGCTGAAAATGGTTGCCTTTTCTGTCTTCTTATACCTCAGCATTACTAGGTGTAATTCCTATTCCTTGATGTTTTCAACTTTATATTTTAGATTGATCCTGCATAATTATATATGCATGTGGCAGAAATATAATAAAGAGATCACACACACCAGAAATGTTGCAGGACACCTGCAGTGCTCCCCTTGATGAAGCATGTGGTGTGTGTGGAACAGTTGCCCCTCTCCCCAACACTCTGGGTTGAACCACTGAACCCCTGCCCTGGCTGAATCTGAACTGGTTGCAAGGCAGGGCCAGTGAAGAGCGAGCAAGCTCACTTCCGGCCCTGGTCTCATGGAGTCTCTCCTCTTTCCAGAATGGGTTGAATGCTTTGCACCTGGCCTCCAAGGAGGGACATGTGAAGATGGTGGCTGAATTGCTGCACAAGGAAATAATTTTGGAAACCACCACCAAGGTAAGCCCCCCCCCCCCCCAGGTTGGGGTGGGAATGGCTCTTTTGAAACTGAGGTTGGAGACAGACAAAGGTGGCCTGCAACCAACAAGAAGAGCTCTCATGGTTGCTGAGACCAGCAAATGAGCCTCTCCTGGGCTAGAATCCCTTATATATATCCTTTATAGAGACCAAACAGAAATCTCCCCACAAAGTTGCTCTTTGCTGCCCCGGGGGAAAGGATTTCTGCTGGAAATACAACAGAGAGAAAGGGTTAAACATTGCACAGTTCCAATCCTGCTTTTTTTGTTTTTAAGTGCATGTTGATTGCTTTCTCATAATTAACACCATGTCTTGTTTGATTCAAAGTAAATCCCACCAGCCTGAAGTCTACCCATGAGCTTGATTTAGACTGCAGGACCCTAGCAATTGTGGACACTTCACTTATGATCATTAGCAGCCCCTAACTGTGTGGTTAATTGGGGTGGGTTAAAGAGTGGCTATCTGCCAGCTCAGCTGACTCTGTTGTCACATATTCATAGAATTGAACAATGGAGGTGGAGACGCTTATTCAGAAGAAAAGGCTAAGGACTAAACCCTACACAAATCTGGAGTAGTCCCTAAGAGGGTTAGATGGCGCCTTGTACACCTCCTTTTGGCAACTCCTGCAGCCAAGCTGGTGTCAAAGGAATTGCTCTGCTTTCCTTTGGACCACATCAGCAGGCCTGGGCAGCCCAGGATCTCCAGACACACTGCCCAGGTTGACTTCACCCCCAGAGGCATACTCCATTGTATCTCGAGACAGATGGATGTCAACAAGAACAAAATACGCTAGTGATACGCTACCCAACTTGGGTGTGTGTGTGGTTTTCTGCTGTTTTCTCAATGTATAGATCCATAGGGGTTTGTTTGTTTGTTTTTAAAGGTGTTTTTTTCTAGACTGCTTGCAATTTGTACCCTGCTTGACCCTTTTCTTCCATCTGGCTTTTTCAGAAAGGGAATACGGCCTTGCACATCGCTGCCTTGGCAGGACAAGAGGACGTGGTGAGGGAGCTGGTGAACTTTGGGGCAAATGTCAATGCACAGTCCCAGGTAAGTTGCCTGCCTCTCCCTCTCCCTGCAGTGGCCTTGCCTGGGCAAGGAGCTGGGAGACTCTGGAGCTTCAGGGCTTTGAAGGCTCTGCGGGAAAAGACCAGGAGTGGGCCAGGCCCCTTAACAAGCAGGAGGCAGAGAGTATTGGGTGCACAAGGAAACCGGTTCTACATGATCCAGCAGTCCTTTGCCAGACTTGGCAAGCCAGCCAAGCTGTGTGCCTTATTATTGTTTTTAAATAGTAGTAGTAGTAGTAGTAGTAGTAGTAGTAGTAGTAGTAATACTAGAACAGGGCTAGGGAACCTTTTTCAGACTAAGAGGCACATTGCCTTCTGGATAAGCATTCAGGGGCCACAAGCAAATGGTGGTGGTGGGGGGAAGCCCAGGCAAAAGTAAGCAGAGTAGCAAATGTCGATGTGCAGTACTCTGGTTCCTACACACGCCGGCATCCGTCCCTCTCTGTCCTCCTTCCAAGTGAGAGAGAAGCGCTCTGGGAGGGTGTGAAGCCACGGCTGGACTGTCTGCCACTGTCCAAACAGATGAGTCCCATCTGTTGCTCTGCCCGTTCTGCCCACTTTCCCCTCCCTGACCCTACCTGCCACCATTATGTGGTCCCTGCAAGAGAGACTGTGGCCCCGGGTCTATTTCAAACCAATCACCAATGGTGTTAGTTGGCTGATTAATCTGCCCACTTCAGGCCTGCAGCATTGTAAATATTGCTTCGCTTGAGTCTGGCTGGGCTGGGTGAAGCTTGCAGATTCAAAGCCATCCAAGGTCTCTTTCTCGCGTCCCTCTGTGTGCATCACATAGATGCTTCTGATCCTCTTCAGTCCCCGGCTATCTCCCTGCCAGCGTCACTCTCTTTCTGCCAGGCAGCCAACCATCCTCATGTCACCTGCTCTGGCAGAGCTGCGGGGGGGGGGGGGGGCGGCAGTGTGGGTCGTCATGTCTCTGTGCCTGCTTGGATGGAATAGGGACCATCATCTGGCGCAGGAGCCCCCTGCTGGCCCTGGGGAGGCACTGCCCCTCCGTGACAGTCTGCTGTGTCTTTGAGTTACATAAGCAGGTATCTGAAGGTCAAACAAATGCCAGGGAGTTGGAGAGAAATTGGGTAGGGAAGCACTGAGGCAAGGTGGGGGGTGGAATGCAGAATGACAGGCTTAGGGGGCCTAGAGGGCAAGCTCTCTATTTTCAGGACTCACTGCTGTCAGTCACTCTGGCTGAGATCAGCAAGCAGACCCCTCCCCCTCCCCCAAATCCTTCTGATCCTGTTTGCAATTTGTACTTTTGAGTCATTTTCCCAAAGCAAGGAGACTGAGTGTGCTTGCCTTTGGTTGCATAAACATGAAGCCATGCTCATTTTGTGAGCGCTTTAGAGCTAATGCTCAGCCTCTCCGCTTATGCTGGCGATACTTTTGCTAAGCAGGTGAGTAAACAGCTGGTAATTCCAACCATTTGGTTTTAATATGCACAGACCGAGATTTGCATTAGGCTAGCAGTTTATTTGTTTCCTTTCTAGATTATTCTTTGCTAAGCAGGATCTTGAGTAGAAACTGAAATGAATAAAAAATGCAGAACTGTTGT